TGCAAAATCCTAAAAATAGAATTGTCATATTACCATCAATTCCACTGCTGGGTATAGATCTAAAAGAAAGGATATCACTGTATTGAGGGATATCTGCACTCCCATGCTTCCATGTTTATTGCAGCGCTATTCACAATAGAGAAAATATGGAACCGACCTAAGCGCCCATCAATGGATGAATGGATAAAGAAAATGTGATATATACACACAATGGAATATTATTCAGCATAGAAAAGAATGAAATAAGTTCTATCATTTGCAACAACATAGATGGGACTAGAGGTCATAAAGTTAAGTGTTAATAACCCAAGTACGGAAAGACAAATACTGCATGTTCTCGCTTATAGGTGGGAGCTAAAAAAGTGGATCTCATGAAGATAGGAAGTAGACTGAGGCTTTCCAGAGGTGAGGAAGGGTAGAGGGAACGGAGTGTTGAAGAGAGATTGATTAATGGGTACAAATATACAATTTCATAGAAGCTAAGACCTAGTGTCTAACAGATCAGTAGAGTGAAAATAGTATACAATTTCAAAATATTGTATTTTGTATATTTATTATAATTACATATACACATATATTACATATATGTATAATATATCTATTTTATATTTCAAAATAACTAGAAGAGAGTAATTTGAATGTTTCTGCATAAAGATAAATATTTAAGATGTTGGAAGCCCCAATAACACTGATTTCATATTTACAAATTATATGAATGTATTAAATTATGCACCCTAAAACGATGTCAGCTATTATCTATTAATAAAAATAAAAAATAAATAAATAATAAAAATCTGGCTAGCCCTCTCCCCACCCCCAGTCACCTGAAACCTTTCTGTTCCCCATGACTGCTCCAAAATGGGAAATAAGGTTTCACAGTAATTTCTATAATTTGTCAAATCCCCAAAGTCTAATTCTTATCTAATGCCCCAAAGTCTAATTCTTATCTAATTCTTATCACAAGACCCCTACATAGATGGTTCATTTTAAATTTCTGTAAGGCAGTGTGCACCTTACATCTATCTATGCACCAGGAATTGGCATTCTTCTAGTCCCTGAAGTTATGATTCACAGTTCACTACAAACACACTTTAACTCGGGGTGGGGTGCGGGGTGGATTATCACTTCTTGATTGAAAGCTCCCGGAGAGTAGGGGCTTTTTTCTGCACAGCGAGCGGCCGCTTCCTGCACACCAGGAAATCCCCTCCGCCTGCGGGACCCGCCCCGCCCTCCTGCCCACGCGCCCGCTGGGTGGTGCCTGCTCGGGTCCCGACTGCGCCCGCCTCCCCACTCACTAGGATCTGATACTCCGCGCCGCCCAGACGCCTCTATTCCCGTCACTACCACCGGCCTCCCCTCGCTCCTGGGCAACGGTGCCCACAACGGCGGTACGTGTCTAGCTTTGGGAGCGGCTCCCACAAGCAGGCATCGGGTTATCCGCTCCCGCGCCCAGGAAACGGTAGGAGCCCGGGAAAGCGGAGCCTGGCAAAGTTCCCTGAGCTCCGTCCTGGGGCTCCCCTCTTTCACTTGGTCTCGGGCCGGGGCCTCCCCGAGGGCAGGGGCGTGGCTGCGCCTGGCTGCGACCCCTGTGGATCCTGGTGTGGTCAGGGCGGGTGTCGGGGGAGATCGCGTGGAGCTGGGGGATGAGCCTCTAGGCTCAGCTCAGCTCAGCACGCAGGAGCTGGGAAGCGGGGGTGCGGAGAATGACGCCCTGCGATCCTCTCTGGTGAAGTACTCTTTGGGGTGGGAGGGGGCTGTGATGCCTCAGAACACTAGGACCCTAGGACCCCAGGACCCTGGGAGCGCGCACCTTCAGGGTCCAGGAGATGGGCCACCTGTGGGATGGGGGCGTCGCAGAATGTTGGTGCCATAGCTCAGGGCGCCTTGGCCATAGGTGATGCCGCAGAGAGCAGTGCATTGGGAATTTCTGAGGGTACCGAAGACCCTCGAGAGAGAACTAGGGGTGGATCCCAACGGCAGCCTGGACCCTGCGCCTACCCCAGCGCCTTTTCCAAGAATGAGCGCACGGGTTTCACAGCCCTCTCTGGCCCCCAGAGTTTGGCCAACACCACAGCACTTTTGAGAGTGTGCAGGCCTGCAAAGATCATCGTGAGGGACATTCCAGATCTTGTTTTTATTAAATTCACTGACGGGATAAAATATTTCAAAATTCATTGTCCTTAAGGTAAGATGGTGGGGGCCTTTTAATCATATTTTAATTTTGTTGTATCAGATCATATTGCCACTTAAGTTACTTCCTTTTCTCCTCCCACTACCCTTTAAAACCAAGTTTGGTGAGAATCAAGGACAAAAAACCAAATACCACATGTTCTCACTCGTAGGTGGGAATTGAACAATGAGAACACTTGGACACAGGAAGGGGAACATCACACACCGGGGCCTGTTGTGGGGTGGGGGGAGGGGGAAGGGGGAGGGATAGCATTAGGAGATATACCTAATGTAAATGATGAGTTAATGGGTGCAGCACACCAACATGGCACATGTATACATATGTAACAAACCTGCACGTTGTGCACATGTACCCTAGAACTTAAAGTATAATAATAAAAACAAAACTAAGCTTGGAAAACAGAACTTATAGAAAACTAATATTCAGATGCTGTCAGGCGTACTTAGATGCTAGGGGGAAACTGGGTCAGGTGAGGGTCCTCTTGCTTCTGGGGTCTAATTGTGTCTGATGACAGGAATGTGACCCAGAGCTGTCTCCTCCCTGTTGTGATTTATAAGACTGATGTGAAAAGTAACATTCATATTTGGTCCCAGCCAAACAATCAATAGTATCTAATAGTAGAATATAAATATTTTCAGATATGCAATAAATCAAAATTTATGTATTCTGTCTCAGAAAACTATTGTTCTAGCCAAACAAAGGAATAAACAATAAAGCAGAAAAGGCATTGGGGTTCAAAACAAAGGACATTGGCAAAGGGCTGTCTTAGATGAGACAGGGATGCTGCACACTAAAGAGAAGTGAGTTTAGAAAGGAATAGTCAGCAATGTGAGTGATCAATAGCAATGGATGCAACACATTGGAATTATGAAAGAGAAGGGTAGTACAATTACAGCCCAGCAGACAGCCTCTGAATGCAAGAATGTTTAGAAAAGAAAGGTATGTAATGTATTTAAATACTAATGTAATTTACATCATAATGTATTTAGAAACCAAAATGGAATATCTATCTCAGTTTTGTCACTGGTATGGCCCTAGAAAAGCTTTTATTTTATTTTTAAACTTTTAAGCATTGATTACAAATCTTTGTACTCAATGCTTAAAAGTTTAAAAATATTTTATTTGCTGTGTTAGTAGTGTGCTTTAAAGTTTAAAGTAAAAGTTGATGTTTACCAAATTGACAAACAATAAGTTGGCCACTAACTAAAGTATAATAGTAGGGAAAGTTGTTCTCTGCTTTTGAAAATTCTGCTTTGGGAATGAAAATCCTACAGATTAAAGAAACCTGCACACCAGCAGGATGAGAGACTGTGGGAGACGAGCAGTGGGACTGAGATTATTCATATGTGGTTGAGCATATGAAGAAATTACTGAAAAGGTTTGACTGGTGGAACACTTGGGGACAAATTTGCTATATATAAAAGAAAGTCAAAGAAGGTGAGGTAGAAGAAATATTAACGTAAGGAAAAACAGAGTTATGTGAGAAGAGGAATGGATTAATTGTTCACTACTTGGCTTGGCTATGAATACTATTTAATTGCACTAAAGCAAACACTTGGATAGAGGAGGTGAAGTGCAGTGACTGAAGTAAGGGATGTAATTCCATAAATTAGGAAGGCAATAGATGATGTCTAAAATTGTTAGGTCAAAAACAGTAGTATACACCTATTATAGCTAAACATGGATAAATGCCAGGAGAAAGAGCAAGCTGACTTGTGATTGATTGCTTCTAGGAAGTTGGGAGGAATGGGAAGGTGCCTGTTGATTTGTATAATGTCTCTCCTAGAATTATTTGACTTTACAACTAAGTGCCAGTTCATTAATTTCATAAAGAGCAAATCTGACTAAATCACACTAAAAAGAATATACACACATTGCAGAAAATGCAAAAATACAGGAGAACATAACTAACATCAAAATTACCCATTGCCCAGAAGTATTCGATATTCAGTATTTCTTTCCAGTCTATTTGTGAATTATATGTAACTTTATTTCTAATTTACACTTAACATTAATCTTCATTTATATTCAATCACAGATATGACAGAATCTAACTGGTTCTCTATTGTTGGCCATTTAAAGATTATCTCTGTAGCATATGAAGTGCTTCACTAGTCATCTTTCTGCAAAATGTTTCTTATCAGTACATGTGAGTTTTACTTTCAGTGAAATTCTTTGAAATGAATTTTTTTATTCTGAATGTATAAATATTTTCTTGGCATTTTCTTTTTTCTATCCTTCCTCCTTCCCTCTCTTCCTTCCTTCCTTTTTAAAATGTAATTCTAAATTACACTCTGAAAATATTTACATAATCAGTTGTAGAGTACAGGAAGGAATACCTATTTTACCAGTGCTGGAAATTAATAGTTTTTGTACTTATGAATTTCATGTTTTAAAAAGAGAGCTTTAACTTGCTTTCTGCTTTCTAAAAAAAAAAAACAACCTTGTACCATGGTGATAAAGAGATTAAGAGGAACCCTAGATCTACAGCGTTCCTCAGCAACCACAGACCTGGTTGCTAATCCTTGCGTTGCTGTTTGTAGCTGGGTATCCTCAGAGGCAAGATACCGACACGGCGAAGACTCCATTTATTTGCTTGTAAAATGCAAATATTCGCTGCACCGACCCCATCCGGTTGTACAGATTAAATGAAATTACGCATCAAAAGCCCCAGTTTAGTTTTTGTATGTGTACCTATTTGTTCACTGAGGAAAAGTATCCACTCTCTTAATAAAGTGAAAATGCAATACATAGTAAGCCCATATTGATGTAAAATTGTTTTTAAATCCATTGTTTCAGGCTCACTGTCATGGACGCTCTATCAGAAGCAAACGGCACCTTTGCATTAAACCTTTTGAAAAAGCTGGGGGAAAACAACTCAAACAACATATTTTTTTCACCCATGAGCATGTCGTCAGCCTTGGCCATGGTTTTCATGGGAGCGAAGGGAAACACTGCAGCCCAGATGTCTCAGGTACCTAGAGCCACTTCAAGACAAAAATAAATGCTACTAATTTATCAGTAATGCTGGTCTAGAAGGTCCAAGAAGGTCTCACATATCTGGGCCTTGGTGCTACTTGGTGGCTGGGGTCGGGAGTACCCTACAAGCAAGTCTTTTCATTCCTCCAGAGCCCTTCCACATGGCCTTTCCTTAGGGAAGCTTGTGCATCCTTACATCATGGTAGCTGCGTTATAAGAGAGTCAAAGTGGAAGCTGCCAGGCTTTTTAAGGTCTAGGCTTAGAACAGAGCTACATCTGCATTCTCTTGTTAAAAGTAAGTCATGGGGCCATCCCAGATCCTAACAAAGGGGAGGGAGACTCCATCTTTTGGTGTCAGGAGCACCATGTGTATGCAGAGACAGAACACATGTTTGGCAGCTGTGTTTTTAGACAAAGTACCACAAACAGTGAGCGTTTAAGTAACCTGAATCATTTTGTTAGGGTTTGCAAAAGGCATATCTAGTCATACCAATATTTAGATAATATTGATTTTACATAGGAAGTGATTATAGGGAAGCTTAAGAAGAGCTATAGGTAGGGAGAATGGGTGGATGTCAACCCACTTTCTATCTTTAATTAGTGTAATAGTGCATTCTCATACTGCTATAAAGCAATACCTGAGATTGGGTAATTTATAAAGGAAAGAGTTTTAATTAACTCACAGTTCCACATTGCTGGGGAGGCCTCAGGAAACCTACAATCATGGCAGAAGGCAAAGGAGAAGGAGGCACCTTCTTCACAGGGTAGCAGGATGGAGTGAGTGCAAGCTGGGGAAATGCCCGACACTTATAAAACCATCAGCTCTTGAGAGACTCACTCACTATCATGAGAACAGCATGGAGGAAACTGCCCCCATGACCAATTACCTCCACCTGGTCTCACCCTTAACATGTGAGGATTATGGGGATTATAATTCAAGATGAGATTTTGGGGGGAGACATAGCCAAATCATATAAATTAGATTAATCATCTTTTATGCTCTAGTAAGGATCTATAAATCTCTTAATGTTGAATTTAGCATTGTGCCTATTTTTGAAGTCAGGGAATACTGAAAATTTTATTTGTTTTTAAAAATTTCAGGCACTCTCTTTTAGTAAAATTGGAGGTGAAGATGGAGCTATTCACCAAGGTTTTCAGTCACTTCTTGCTGAAATTAACAGAGCTGGTACTCAGTACTTGCTTAAAACTGCTAACAGGCTCTTCGGAGAAAAGTCTTATGACTTCCACACAGTAAGTTGTACTTTATGTTTTATCAAGAAAATAAAGATAGCAATGTGATGGACACTAGTAGAAAGAATGTGGGCTCTGAATTCATACAGGTGGGCCTGAATTCACAACTTCATTCCCTAACCTCACACGGCTCCTCTGATTGTTTTATTGTCTATAAAATAAGTCTTATAGCAAATACTGACAAGACTTTCATGAAGCTTAAATGACTTAATCTTTATAAAAGAACTGACACAGAGCATAGCACAATTGGAGATGAATCAGCCGAAACAAAGAAATGATCAAAATGAGTATTTCTAGTAATTGCCTTGCAGATGTTGTTAATTTTTTGTGCATCATGACACTTTCCTAGCTTTTTATGTATTTAAATATTTTGATTGGATTTTTAGACACCGCAAATCTTTTAAAACATATTTTAGCTAACTACCTTGGCTCTATTTGTTGACAAGCCTTTAATGACTTTTTTATCTTTTAAAAACAAAGGTACTCGGCTGGGCGCGGTGGCTCACGCCTGTAATCCCAGCACTTTGGGAGGCCAAGGCGGGTGGATCATGAAGTCAGGAGTTCAAGATCAGCCTGGCCAAGATGGTGAAACCCCGTCTCTACTAAAAATACAAAAATTAACCAAGCGTGGTGGCGGGCATCTGTAATCCCAGCTATTTGGGAGGCTGAGGCAAAAGAATCCCTTGAACCCTGGGGGTGGAGGTTGCAGTGAGCTGAGATGGCGCCACTGCACTCCAGCCTGGGTGACAGAGCAAGACTCCATTTCAAACAAACAAACAAACAAAAACAAAGGTACTCAAGTAATTTCTTACACAAAACTGCAAGTAACACATATAAATCAAGAACCCTCATTAACCTCTAATTCCAATACTCCTCTTCTCAATGTCTGAGCTTTTATAAATTTGAAGTCTATCCTGCTTCACATACAGAAATTTTGCTTTGTGAGGTTCCTCCCTACATTGTTATTATACTATACATATTGTTTTATACTTTGTTTCTTTTTACTTAACAATACGTCTTAAATTCTTTCCATCTCAGCATATGTGTATCTATGTCACTCTTTTTACCCATTTTCTAGTATTCCTAAGTAGGACTGTACTGTAATGGAGTAAACCTTTCCCTTATTGCTGAGCATTTAGGTTGTATTTAATCTGGACCATTACAGACTCTAATATCCCTGTACAAGATTTTGTGCTCATGTGCATTCGTTACTGTCTAAAATGGATGTGCAGAAGGGAGAAAGGGAATGAAACTTTGAAGCTTTAATAAATATTGCCAAATTGCTGTTACTGGTATTATAGCCACTTACATTCCCCAAAGCATATGTGTAAAGTGCTCATTTCCACCTACTATCAACAGCACTGCATATTATAACCCTATAAACCTTTGGAAGGGTGGGGCCAACCAAGAAACCGGACTAGAAGCAGCTCCTGTGTACCGCTGTACACATGAGAAGGAATAGAAGGGGTAATGGACACTGACACTGCACACCGATCAAACATCTGAGAAATTACACTGGGTTCCATCAAGGCGGGAGGGGAGCACAGAGATCAGAGAGGAAGGAGTCCAGGAACCAGCCTGTCTGAGCTCAGCGTGGAGCCAGGAGATTCTGTTCAACACAGGAAAGGGTGAATGAGTGAGAGCTCCCAGGGGAATTCACGCTGTCCACCAGGACCTGTGCATGATTGAGAACAGGAGGATCCCCCTGACCCCTAACACCCCACCACTGCACTTCTAGACTGAGGCAGAGAGCCACCTGGACGTATTGTGGGGGCAACTCTCGAATTCAAGAAGGCCGCTACAAGCCTTGGGCCCTGAAGCAGACCATCACCGGTGTCACATCCCCATTAGAAGCCACAGTTGCAGTGCCTGGGAGCAGTAAGTTTGCCCCGCCCCTTCTTACCAGACAGGGCTTGGTGCCAGCTTCTGCCCAGTGGTCCTGCTTTTGTGTGAACTGACCTGGAGAGTGCAGCCTCACGTTTTCCCAGGAAACACTCAGATGACAGGGTGCATGACCCCACCCACTCCCACCACTCATAGCCAGGAAGGCAATGCTTGGTAGAGCTTCTGGCCTAGCGGTCCCACTTCCGTGTGAACTCAGCTGGAGGGTGCAGTTTTATCTTGTCCCCAGAAACACTTGGATGGCATGCTGTGTGACCCCAACTTCCCCCACCACAAGTAACCAGGTGGACAATGCCTGCTAGAGCTTCTGGCCCAACAGCCAGCCCAACTTCTGTGTGAACTCAGCTATTGGGCACAGGTTCCTATCGTCCCAGGAAACACCCAGATGGCAGAGCATGCAACCCCACCCACCCCTGCAACTGGTAGCCAGGTGGGAAATGCTGGCTGTAGCTTCCAGCCCAGTGGTCACCCTTCTGTATGAACTCAGCTGGAGGTCACAGTCTTCTGTTGTTCCAGGAATAACCTGGAGAGCAGGGCATGTGACCTGCCTACCCTGGCCATTGGTAGTCAGACTGGCAACACCTGCTAGAGCTTCTGGCCCAGTGCTGCTGCTTCTGTATGAACTCAGCCAGTGGATGCAGCTTTTCTGTTGCCCCTGGAAGCACATGGTGGGCACAGTGTGTGACTCCACTCGCCCCTACCACTGGTAGCCAGGCAGGTAATACCTACTAAAGCTTCCAGTCCAGTGGTCTTGCTTCTGTGAGAACTCATCTTGCAGTGGCAGCTTTCTGTTGTCCCAGGAAGCACCCAGAAGGCAGAGCAGTCATTTCCACCCACCTCTGGTTGGTAGCCAGGCAAACCACACTTGCTATAGCTTCCAGCCCAACAGTCCTGCTTCTTCCTAAGTTTTTCGAGAGGTACAGACCCCTGTCACGCTGGAAACCCTGAATGGCAGGGGGGGCAAGTCCATCCACTCCAGCCTGTCATAGGCAGATGGGCCACACTCACTAGGTCTTCTAGCCCAGTGGTTCCACTTCCACTTGAACTCTGCTGGAAGGTGTAACTCTATGTTTCCCCAGGAAGCATAGGGGCAGCAGATTAGGACTGACCTGGCAAGGATACAGCTTGTCTGCCAGCTGTGGGCCTTGACTGAAGGAGCCCTATGGACCAGAACACCCAACAAAAGAAACACAGGCATGGAGAAAGTAATCAGAAGGAGCACCCCCAAGACCCAGGAGTAGACTAGAATCAGAGTCCATCAACCAAAACCATCTTGTGCTGTAATCAAACCTCCAAGTTCATCAAAGAAGAAAATAGCAAAATAATCTATCCAAAGCACAGCAACCTCAAAGACCAAAGGAACATGAGCCCACACAAATGAGAAAGACCCAGCAGAAGAACTCTGGTAACTCAAAAAGCGTGTCTTCTTATCTCTAAACAGTCACACTAGTTCCTCAACAATGATTCTTAGCCAAGCCGAAACAGCTGAAACATCAGAAACATAATTCAGAATATGGATAGGAACAAAGATCATCAACATACAGGAGACAGTCAAAACCCAATCCAAGAAACCTAATGATTACGATAAAACAATACAAGAGCTCATAGACAAAGTGGCCATTATAAGAAAGAAACAAATTGAATTGATAGAGCTGAAAAACACTCTACAATAATTTCACAGTGAAATTGCAATATTACCAGCAGAATTGACCACGTGAGAAAACAGTCTCAGAGCTTGAAGACTGGCTTTCCAAAATAACTCATTCATATAAAAATAAAGAAAATAAATAAAGAAGAATCAACAAAACCTTCAAGAAATATAAGATTATGTAAAGAAACCAAATTTATGACTCATTGATGTCTCTGAAAGAGAGAGAGAGAAACCAAGCAACTTGGCAAACATATTTCAGGATATCATTCATGAAAATGTCCCCAAACGCTAGAGAGGACAGCATTCAAATTTAGAAAAATGCAGAGAACCCCTGCGAAATACTACACAGGAAGACCATCCTCAAGACGCATAATCATAAGATTCTCCAAAGTCTAAATGAAGAAGAAAAAAACAGAAGGGGCAGGTCAACTACAAAGGGAATCTTATCAGGCTAACAGCAAACCTGTTAGCAGAAACATTGCAAGCCAGAAGAGACTGGGGCGGGGGGCAACATTTAGCTTTCTTAAAGAAAATAATTTTGAATAATTTTGAACCAATAATTTCATATCCAGCCAAGCTAAACTTCATAAGCAAAGGGGAAATAAGATCCTTTTCAGACAAGCAAGTGCTAAAGGAATTCATTACCACCAGACCTACCTTGCAAGAGGTCCTGAAGGGAGTACTAAATATAGAAAGGAAAGATCATTACCAGCTACTGCAAAAATACATGTAAATACATAGATCAGTGACACCATAAAGCAGCCACACAACGAAGTCTGCATAATAACTAGCTAACAATATGATGACAGGATCAAATCTACTACTAACCTCAGATGTAGATGGTCTAAGTGCCCCAATTAAAAGGCACAGAGTGGTACATTGAATAAAGATGCCCAGCCCAACCGTATGCTATCTTCAAGAGACAAGTCTCACATGCAAAGACACACATAGGCTCAAAGTAAAGGGATGGAGAAAAAAAATCTATGAAGCAAATGGAATACATAAAAAGGGAGGGATTTCTGTTCTATTTTCAGACAAAACAATCTTTAAACCAACAAAGATCAAAAAAGGCAAAGAAGTGTATTGCACATTGGTAAAAGACTCAATTCAATAAGAGGACCTAGGAAGAGGTCATACAATAATAATGGGATAAAATAACACCTCACTGATAGTATTAGACAGATAATCATGGAAGAAAACTGACAAAGATATTCAGGACCTGAACTCAATTATTGATCAATGGACCTAACAGACATCTATAGACCTCTCCACCCCAAAACAATAGAATATACATTCTTCTCATCTGTACATGGCACATACTATAAAATTGACCACACAGTTAGGCATAAAACAATATCCAGCAAATTCTTAAAAATGAAATCATACCAACCACATTCTTGGATCACAGTACAATAAAAATAGAAATCGATGTGATGAAAATTGCCCA